GCTGCGGGGAACGCGGGGCCGCGGCTTGTTTTGGGGGGTCTTGCGTTGTTGCTAAAGAAGGCTCTTTCCCAGTTCACGTGGACCAGTACCGCTTCTACTTCGACATCAGCGCGATGGAGAAGGGCGAGCAGATGCTGAAAGCCGAGTTCAGGGTCTTCAAGCTGAAGAGGAAGCATGTGGCTAGCAGGTCGGACGTGAAACACTTCTGCAAAGTAAGTGGGGAAATGATCTGTCAGTTAAACACTTGCTTGTGCTTTCATTGTTTATAATACTGTAAATGAGGACTGCAACCACTTACCATATAAACATGCTTTGGACTAGATGACCCACAGAGGTCCCTTCCAACCCCTACTATTCTGTGATTCTGTGATTCTGTGATTGTCATCCTCACCTTTTTCCTTGTCTCCGGTGTGCAAAGCAGCAAAGCAAAGGCTTTGGCAGTATGCTGTCCTCTGCGCACTGTGGCAGTGAGCTGCCCCTAAAGATACCTGTGTCAGCCCTGCCTCAAACCATACCGTACTTCTCTGGGGGTTGAGATGCCATGGAATTTGAATCGCAATTTATCTGCTTGAGCTGCTCTAAAAATAATAATAACAATCAGGGGTTCACATGAAGACAGAGCACGTGAGGGCTCCGATGTTGAGTGTACCTGTTCCTTTGGTAAAAGGCAGGAATGGACGTTTTGCAAACCTCAAGACGAAGATGCAGAGGAACGGAATGCTTTTGTGGTATTAGATGTTCAAAACAGAAAGAAAAGGGAAGGTCAGGATATTTTTCTATAGTGTCCAACAGTCTAGTATCCTGTCTCTGAACACATCTAGAAGTAGATGTATGTCTCTGTCTTGTTAAATTGTCCAAAAACTAGTTTTTATTTGGTTTGGAATAATAGTATGGTTTTCCAGCTATGATGTGGCAGAAACACGTATAATCTTCATCCTCCTTGTCTTGCTAGAACAGTTGTCTGTTTTCACTTACTGTTTTGTTGTATGGTTCTCATCGAGGTGGAAGTGTATGAGCTCCTGGAGAGTGGAAGCAAGTCAGAAAAAAAACATCTCATTGCATCAAGATTGTTGTCCCTGTATACAGAAGGCTGGGAAGTATTCAACGTCACACAGACAGTAAGCAGAGAATTCTGATTTAATTTTAATTCTGAATCTCTTAAGATGACAGTTAGCTTGTAATGCCAGCATTGCCCTTGTGCTGGGTTTTGTGGTCAATTCAAACTGAAGGACAGCAGCAGAGGGAGGAGCTTTCTCTCTATGCTTAAAAATACAGCTGGTGCTACCTGAATTAAAGGAGAAAAGTTTATGTACTGCTGGCAGCACAGGTATGATGAGAGCAAAGTAACCCAAACCCAGTCGATAGGAAAGACATCAGGGGAAGTATGTCATTGTGATTAAAACATGTTAGTCCTTAGGCTGCCAAAGGAGATGGCATTGATTGTATGCTAAGAGTAGGCTTTAATTTATCCTGTTTATTCTGATGACATTACTACAGAGCAGACATGCAGTGTGCTTTAACGTTATGTTTTTGGAATTTACCATGGTTGGATTGTTTCTCATTTAACTACCTCTATAGACTTCGTTATTTGTTAGTTTCAAGATTTGTTTTGTAGATATCCTTAAACTATAACAGTACGTGAATGCCTTTCCATAGCAAAAGACCGAACGTGGTTTAAAACAAACAGTGTCTTGGGTCTGAATCTGTACTCAGACAGTCTTTTTTGTTGCCTCAGCTTTATGATCAGACTGAACAGCATGCTTGGATGAGTGGCTGAGTTACATCTTAAGTCAGGATAGTCCTGCTTGAGAATGGCCTGGCCTTATCTGCTAGTTTGTAATTATAACAATTAGATAAAGTAAATTTGCTTGACTGCAAGTTAATTTCTTCAAATGCCGTGTTTGTTAGATTTAAATGAGTTTTAAATGGTATGGAAAGTCTGGAGAGTTCATATTATTCTGTTATTAAGATAGCTGTGAAAAATAAATCCCTGGCTAAAGTCAGAGAAGATATATTTTAATTTTAACTCCTAGACTCAGCTGTTTACTAATACATTCTCTGAAATTAATTATCTTCCTGTAAATGTAGCTTTGGGGAATGTGTGTGGTATTTTGTATTTTTAAATGTTGAATTACTGGTTTAAATATTAAAGTCAATGAGTCTCAGCTATGCAGTTACCTCAGTTCTGTCATAGTATATGTGCTTATGCTCTCATAGCTTGTCGCCTGTTCCTTTTTCTTAATATAAATATTTCTTAACCGTAATGCTGTAATAAGAATATTGAAACAATATTTTTTCATTTCCCTGTCATTACCAGGTTTCCAAATGGGTTGGAAACAGCAGGTCCAACCATGGCTTTTTGATAACTACAACACATGTATTCAACAATAGAATTGAGCACAACCAGGTTAAGTTTGCTAAAAGCCACGGTGCTTTGCAGGAGAGTAGGAATGCTCTCCTTGTCCTCTTCACCAACAGTAACAAACGGAGATCTTCCAGCTTTGTACCCTCTTCCACAAGTAAGTTCACACAAAAGCAGCAGCTATGTGTTAGAATATGAATTCCCTGTTCATCTTCTGTTACCTGCTGCTGCCTCATGTATATCTAATCTCAGTATTTACTTGCAACGTTGAACAGGTTTGAAGTTCAGCTTTGTCACTGATCAGAGTTTGATTTGATAGTTCTTGCTAGTAGATCACCCGGCATCCAAAGTTGCCTCTCCCTGCAGAAGAACTGTGTTTTCCGGAAATACTCATGAAGCCTAGGGAGAATCTGGTTTATTTTGTTTGTAGAGGGGTAGGAGTTCTATTTTTTGTAATTACTGTTTATATTGTTTTTGTGGTGGTGAAGTTTGCATGAAAATTGTAGATTAGGTTTAGGCTAAAAAAACTCTGACCTGGAAAACTTTGTGAATATGCTGGTAAAGCAACTGTAAGTAGAGTTATTAAGTGCAGTTTTCAAGAGTGGAAGAAGTTGTTAAATAAGCAATTTAAACCTCTCTGTCCTTGGCTTGGTTTTTAAGCACCCATTTAACTTCAGTGACTAATTAGTATTGTGACTAAAGGCTGCTTTCATCAAAAGACAACGCCCTCATCCCTCAAATTACAAAACACAGTGTCTCCCAGTGGTCTTCCAGTAAAACTTACTAAGGCTGGATTTTAGAGCAAAGAGCAAAAGGTGGGAGGAGAGGCAAAAATAATTCTGGTTTGAGTTTGCAGAGTTTTCTGGTAAAGGATTGTATTTGCATATTAGAAAGAAACTGGGTAGCATCAGTATTAACAAGTAGGTGGTGAAATTGATTGAAAACAAAAATGAGGCTGGCCTGTTTATTTTTTGTTTCCAGAGAAAATGTTTATAGTGAAATTCTAGATCCCAGTTTAACAAGCATCAAGCTCTGGATGGGATACTGTGCCAGGAAACGGATACCCATTTCTCAGTGAAGAAACTCCCTAGATCTGCCCATTGTTTGGGATCAGTGAATCTGCACAGGTTGTTCTTCTACCAGCCTGTGTATCAGTGGTTTTCAGCCTCTGTACATGGGTCTTCAGGTCTCCAAGGACATTTATCAAAGCTTCTCAGAAGATACTTTAAGAAAGCAAACCTTTTGTCAGTGAGCTTCTAGCAGAGTTCCATAAATGTGGTCATTTTTTTCAGATCCAAAAATTGAAAAATATTTTTAAAAATACTACTTTACAGGAACATGCTCTGTTTTGCATGCATATGGGTAGAGTTCCTGGGAGGAGAATACTGGAGAGAGAAAAAGGCTGCGATCTCCACCCTCTGTTAGCACTGCTCATCATGATGTGTGTTGTAGGAGTGGTCATATAAAGACCATTGATACCACTCTGAACAGATTCAGGCCTAAAAAGAGCCTGTGTAGTTCACTGGATGCATTTAGTGTATTATTGAGCTTTTCCTTTATACTTCTGCTGAATTGGGGCCTTTCAGGCTACAAAGTGAAACACAAGATTGGGCAGTTTTTCAAATATGACTGAAATGGCAATTGAATACACACCCCTTGTGGTATTTTCACGGTTTGAGAGTTATTTTTAAATCTACTCTGAAGACTTTGATGTAGGTTTAAGGAATAGACTTTCATGCAGAATACTGTACTTAGGAAATGAATTTCTTTTGAGAAAGACTAACATGCAACTTTCTTTCAGAACCAGAGATGAACCCTGCCAAAAATGATGCTTCAGGCGAGCCTCATGAAACTCAGATCATTGAAAGCAGCAAAGCAAGCATGAGCAGGAGACCTCGAGCTGCTGCAGTCCATTCTGCCAAAAGCCAGGTAACAGCATGTCATCGAAGGGAACTCTACGTTGACTTCCGTGCTATTGGCTGGTCAGGATGGATTATTTACCCAAGCGGATACAATGCATTTTATTGCAGAGGATCCTGTCTCTTCCCCTTAGGGGAAAGTCTAAATGCAACAAACCATGCTACAGTTCAGTCCATAGTGCATACACTTAAACTGTCTCAGGATGTCAGCACGCCCTGCTGTGTGCCAGATGACTTGAAGTCCCTCAATCTTCTCTACTTTGATGACAAAGAGAATGTGGTCCTTAAAAATTATAAAGACATGGTGGCAACAAGGTGTGGTTGTCATTAGTAGGACCTTTTTTTGTCTGCGTTTGGTGTGCACCTGAATTCAGTTCCCCATTGAAGATACCAAGGGGAACGGCATTTTGGATTATGGGACAGGAGGGCCAGAAACTCAGCTGTGCTTCAAATCCTCCCCTCACCATGGCTGTGTGGAAAGGCATTTAAGACTGGCTTTCAAAGAGAAGCGGCCTTCTGGAAAGTATGCTGACCTGCACAGGGAACTTGTTGAGAGCCTGTACGCCAGAGGAAACCATTAAAGACAGGAACTTGCTATGTGAAGGAGTTGAAACACGTTGAGTTGAGCATTCAAATTAAGGTCTTGTTCTGTATATTGAGCCTCAGCATTTCCTATGCTTTGACACGCGTGGTATCCTGCCTCAATCCAGGTTAGGGGTCCAGGTCTCTTAGTAACGCAGCATTACTTGGTTTTGACTGCATGATCCGATCAGGGTGTACACTCCTACACAGAGCTTTCAGGGAAAGTGCCCAGAGCTGATCTCAGAGGCCTCTTCCATCTGCAGCTCATGCATTACCCGGAAAGGCACTTCTTCCCACTGTTCTTTATGCAGCTCTACCAAATGCAGAGACGTCTTTGTAAGTCCTCCTGGGACTTTCTAGCCAATCTGAGGGAACACATTGGTCAGTATTTGTCTGGGAATCAGCAAACTTGGCTTCCAACGCAGGAACACATCTCTGTGAGATGAAGGGTCAGCCAGTGCCCCTCTCTGTGAAATCATTCTCTTCCGCCATGGTGTGCTGTGGCTGTTAGGCTGCGTGACAGCAGAGGTTGCCTTTGTGTATTTATACAGTGGCTGTACAATTGAATCCTAAGCTTGGGTCATAATCCCCATAGTTTAGCAGGAAGAAAGAAGACCACTAAGCTTTGGAGGCCTGTGAGAACTTGCTGGGTGCTGGCCTGGTCCTGTGTCTGAGGCAAGACTGATGGAAGGTACTCACTGATTCCCTTCCATTCTTCCTTGAAGAACAGGACATAGACTTGGAAGGGGCCCCCTGAGGTCTTTCAGTCTTGCTACAATTTAATGCAGGTAACCAGCCCATTGCAGTTCCTCAATCAACTCACTGAGTTGTAATTTAAGCCTGGTTAGGTTTTTGTCTCCGTTAATCCTTGAAGGAGGCTGACTTCTCACAGAATGTGACATCTCCCATGGGTATAAACTTCATGGAGAATTTTTTTACTCCAATGAGATTAAAAAAAAAAAAAACACTATGTAAATGTTTTTCTTCCTGTAAATACTGATGTCTGTAATAAATTTATTTTATTTAAAACCCAAACATTTGAAGTATATTAACTTAATCTGTAATATAAGATATTAATTTTCAAATAAATGTAATGTAACATTGGTCTGGGGTTTTTTTGTGTTGTATTTGAACCTCCTTCCTAGAGTCATGAATCAAATACTTTTCCAGAAGAGAGGACATTCGCAGTGGCTTCAGTGGGCACTGTATCAAGTCCTCTGACTCCATGTCAAGGAGTATAATGGATGAGCAGAATAGATGTGTTTCCATTCAGGGAGGATCCAGTAGTTATTTCTGAAGTGAAACTCGCATTGAAGCTTCTTGTAACTCTCACTTGAGTTGTGGACGTTAAAGCCATTTGGGTTGTTCACACGTGGTGCTAGTAACAGAGCATACCTCGTGAAGGTCCTGTAGTTAACATACCTGAGACGGTTTCAATTTTGTTAGTGCTTATTTTCATGTATGTTTTAATAGCTTCATTAAAATCTCGCTAAGTTAGAAAGCCAGGACAGAAGAAATACTGTTATTCAGACATACAATATATGGATGAGAAGGCTGTGCCCTGTGTGTGTAGACCAGGCATGTGCTTATGGGAACTACAGCCTGGAGTGGGTGGAGTAGAGGAGTCTGAGCAAGACAAGGATTTAGAAACGAAGGATGGCATATGTGGGTCAGTGTGGAGAGAAGGGCTTTCTCCTGCCTAGTTGTATTTCTGGAAGGCTGCAGAGGCTGTTGCAAGTATTAGTGGAGCTGCAACACTCCAATGTCAGAAAAGCTCCAAGAGCAGGTCCTGCTGCCAGGCACAGCAGTTGAGGCAAAGGACTTGGTGCTCCGCGCAGGCTGGAACAGGCAGTGGAGTGTTCAGGAAGCTCAGTTCTGCTAGGGACAAAAGGCTTGATTCCCCCAAGCCAGGCAAGCAGGCAGTGATAGGGCTCCTGTATTTCCATCCAGCAGACCACGTGTTGAACTGGTGGGGTGTGAGCTGTACAGTGCAGGCTCAGGGATTCCAGTATGACTGAATGTTTCAGACCTGCTGTATGTGCCCAGCATGGCAGAACAACAGTGTTCATCCTTTCTGCAGAACGGCCCACGATCACTATGCTGACCACACTGTCCTGTGTCCAGAATTCCCAGACCAATGGCCAAAATCTTCCTCTGCCTGTGTAAAACTTTGGGGGGTAGGGGAGTGGGGGAAGAAAGAGTGTTTTGGTCTTGATATATGGGCACCCTGGCAAAGTGGAATATAAATCCAGTAGCAGGGTGGCGTTAACTGCTGCGTCAGCCACACTCAGCCATTGGATTCAGTGCCATTGGCAAAGGGACAAGTGTTAAGGGGTCATAATCTCACTTTACTGGTTTATTTCCCAGTCTGCTGTTCTGTACTTTTCCCTCTTCACTGAAGAAGTATCTGTGGTGTTTTAAGTCTGTCGGAACCATACCTTGGGAGTGGGAAAATGTGTCTACAGTGAGAGTCCAGACAAGGTCATTCCTGAATGGTGACTCTAGCTGACATTATCTATGCTGCTTTTGGTAGGGGACCCTAAGAACTGAAGCCAGAAGTTTTCACTGACAAATAACACTAGGAGGACTGTGTTTGGAATGCACTGGCTGAGGCAGGTTCTGCGTCCGACACTCTCCAGTCTTCTGTCTGTGACATGACAAATGCTTCTAGCATCATCAGTTGTGTATCAGCTGCATCCTTCACTACTCAACTCAGAGAATTGTCCATTTTTTCCAGTATATCTTGACATGTTTCTTCTTGTTTCAGATGTCAGGAAAAAAAAAGGAAAATTTTCTATTGAAAAGCAAGTATGATTAATAAATAAATGATGGGCACACTGAGTATTAGCTAACATAGTGCTGCCCTACAATAGGTGAAATATGCACAGTCAAGCTAGGAGCACTCAGTAGTTTTGCACACATTAAATTATTTTTTTCTGCACCACTCAACATAGTCTCATTATGCCCCATTAAACCCTGATAATTAAAACAAAATATATTGGAATTGTTTATCCTGGACTTTGTAAGGAAATGAGGTTCATAATAATGCCAAGGGAAAAAATTTACAATATACCAGAACTTGTAATTAGAGTAACAATTAAGTACAAGTATGCTCCTTTTTTTTTTTTTTAAAGAATAAAGGTACATTTTTTTGTTATTCATAAACTGAAAGAAGTGAGCATTCCAAAATAAGAAATGCTACACTTTGGAGTCTTGGTTCAGCCAGAGAACATCATATATTAAAGTGGCATACCAAAAAGCAACAGCTAGGGTTTTGGAGGGAACAGGGGTAGTCTTCAGCATGGGCAGTCTGGAAAGGGATTGGTGACACAGATTGTGTGTGGTTATACCATGCTGCATCACAGCAGCAGCAAGAGAAAGCAATGCTGGTAGCAAACCCCGTTGTGATAAACACTGTACCAAGATCAACAAGGAGCACACCTGGCCCGGAAGATCTCTGCTGGTAAAGAGCAGAAACAAAAAGGAATGGCTGCAGATTTTAGATGCAGGATGCCACCAAGAACACCGACACCCCAGAAACTGAAATTCCGAGGTACACAGAGGAAGAGTCCCACGTTAAATGACTGAGAGCCTTGCAGCATCTCTCCAGCTGCCAGCCTCACCGGGAGGCAGGGTGCCCTGTTAGCCATTCGCGGGGGGGCAGCTGTGCAGCGCTCAGCTCTGCAACTCGAGGTCTGCTGGCATGGGTCTCTGACAGCTTATGGGTCTCTGCATCCTCTCCATAGCATGGGATCAGTTGGATTCTCCTCCGGTAAAGAACACACCTTGCATTTTATACCCCCAGGCACATAGAAAGCAGGACTTCAGAGGTAGAAAGACTCAGAGAATGCCTAGAAGAGAATCTAACCCTATGGTAAAGCTGTTGGGTTATTCTCAACAAAAAAGATAAAGAGGTTGGCCCGGGTTTGGAACTAAAAGGGTGCAGGTATGCCAGGTATGTGCAATCGCACTCATTATTGCGTAAGATGTGGAGAGCACTAAACCTGGCCCCAACAACACTGCAGTGGGGTGGTAATGGGGGCTGAATACGTTGTGAGGGAGAGCTAATGGTGAAGAGCACAAATCCACAAGAGATCAGACTTCCATGGTCTTCTGTTTGTAGAAATGTTTGTTTTAAGGGATTTCTGTGGTGCTCCTGTCAGGAGGTATGGATGACGGGAAGGTGCTTCTTGGCACTGCTGCAGGGGGAGGGATATGCTGGGGATGTCCTGGGGTGGGTAAGGCAGAAGGGATGGGCTTGGGGAAATTGGTCTGGGATGGTTTCCTTTGTGAGGGGGGAGATAACTTAAATGTGCCTGCCCTGAGGAAGCTGGAGCACAGCAGTGGTAAGCAGCTGAAAAACCTCTTCTCTGTTCTATCTGCTCTGCAGGCTTGAAAATGATGTTCAGTATGAGGCGTCCAGTTAGGAATGCTCAGAGTTGTTTGCAGGTGGCCTGGGACAGTTCCTGTGGTTCCTGTTGTCCATCTAGGAAGTAGGGCATTTATGTGCTTTACTTGCAAGACCCGTGGAGAATAGTATTTGATTCATAGCCCTGGAGCTTGTCTCCTGGAAAGAGGAGAGAAGCTGGGTGCCTATCATAAGTTCCAGGGCTTTCCCACAGACACCGGACCCTCCAGATTGTCTCCAGTCCCTTTAGGATCACACCTGCAAATATATACACACAAATGCGCCTATACATGCAGGCTCTGTCCTATGTACACCCATGGGCACATGCATTCATGTTCAGA